GGTATAAATAAATAAATATTTTAATTATAAAGTTGAATGGAATAATCAACACGTAGAAAGCTTTTATTCTGACCACAATCATATTTGACAAGGGAAATAATAGTTTTTCGAGGATACAGCGTATAATTACAGTCGACTAAATACACTATATATATATATACTTTGCTTGTCTGTCCGTTTATTTTTGTGTGGAACCTCAGCTCAGAAATAGAAAAAAGTGTCTCCAAAATTTTTTTATTTGTGTAAAACTTGAAAAAGAACACAAAAAATATAATCTAATCCGCGAACTGTTTTTGTTATTATTTTATATTGTACAAATAGATGATGCTTACAGATAGAGCCACAATCAAGAGTTTAAACAGAAGATTGGCACACATGCACCCTATAACATCTTACTCTATATACCACTAAAACTACACAATCATATATGTTTGTCACAAGGCTACAATAGGCAGAGGAGGTGTAAAGTCGTAAATTTTACACCATTTAAAAGAAAGAAGACAGTTTTAAATATTAAATTCATAATTTAAAGGAATTGAGTTTTTGCCACAAGCTCAACTTTTCTAATATCTATATCTTTGCAACCTAGTCGCAAACACATTTGATATGTCAAACTTAGATTATTTGGTCTAACATAATTATTTGGTCTAACATAATGTTTGGAATATCAAGGGTCTACGACATTGGGTTGCAAGGATATTGGGATCAGAAAATCAGAGTTTTTGGCAAAGACTCAATTCCTTTTTAAGTGAAGAAAAAAAACACTTACTAGATAATTGATATAGTGCAATTAACTAAAAAAAGGAAAAACCGCTAGTTTGTTGTACAATCACCATACAACTCGAGTACTTCAAAATTTTAACGGATTGTCCGGGGTACATATCGTATTTTTGTTGTTGTACAACTCCTGTAAGTGACAAAAGATATTGATACTGAGAAAAATTCTTCCTAATCACTTTCAGCTTACACATATGATACCACTTCATATTTAAGATTAACACTGATACTTCAACATTAAAAAAAGGGTTCAATCTTCTAAGTGGTTTATCTATCATTCACTGATAATATTATCCTGAACCAAAGTTTCAAACTTGAATTTTTTTTAAATCAGACCTGATTTTATAAATCCCATCCCGCCTGTAAACTTCTAAAGCCTAGTCTATAGAATATCCCAGCTGCCAAAATAAGTTTAAATGTTGGATAAGTTTACTCCAAAATATTAAACTTTTATAATATCTCAGTTTTTGCACACTTCTGCGATACACCTGCAAGTTTATTCACTTTTTGCAATGCAAAAATAACAAAAATATTTTTGTGCTACCGAATTATTACAGTTGATTAATAGTATTGCTTCATATTTCAGCTAGACACTGACGTAATAGTAATTGCTTTTATATTTGCGCCTAAGTAATCATTTGACATAATTTATGGCAATTGGTGTATCTACAAGTTTTATATTCGTTAAAAATAAAAATCTTCTAAATTAAATTACATAAAAGGCGCCACTAGTTTTTAACTGATTTTAAAATAATATTTTTTTAACATCCTCGAACTCTTTAAAGCAATGTCTTTGAAAATCCCCAATAATGTGCAGAAGTTAATTTTTTTAGTTGATTTAATCAAGCATGACTCGATACTCGATTTAACTACTCTATAATAATATCTATTCATATTAGAAATCTATAAAAAAAAGTTTCTGAATATTAAGAAACAAATCTGTTCTATTTCCTTGTGTCAGATTCAGATATAATTATGATGGATGATGTGAGAACGGTTTTTATATTCTTCATACACTGGAAAATATAGTTCCATCATTAAGAAGAACTTATTCAGAGGCGAAATTTTTTTAAGGAGATCAACCCTTTTTTTGATGCATAGGGTAGGGTGGAGGACAGTTAAACGGCGTGTCAATGTTTTAAAAAATCAGAAATTGGTAATAATTGTTAATATTTAAGCTACAGGGCTAAACATTTAGATAATTGAAAAGCCCTTGAAAAATAGATGTATTAACATTAACATTATTTTGATCACTATTAATCTGTTGCGTCAATCAGGAGAAAATTGTAAAAAGGACTCATGCTGAAGAACGTACCGTCCATACAAATTCAGTAAGTTGCAACATTCAACTCAGATCGAAAAATAATCGATTTAATTCCAAACAAATTATTCAGTTATTACAACCAATAGTCGTCGATTATTTCTCGACTCATTCGTATACAGTTTTCATAATATTCTTGATTTTTCTTAAATAATATTTTGCTTGCGCTGGATTTTCGAACATTCCTGGAAAATATGAAAATGTCATCTGTAATAAATCCTCGAAACAGGAAAAAAAGTTTTCAGATCATAAAAAATAGAAAAAAAATATTATCAAATATCAACTATATACGAATGCGTCGAAAAATAATCGATGACTATTGGTTGAAAAATCTAAATGATTTGTTTTGAATTAAATTGATTTTTTTCTGAATTTGTATGGATTTGTTCTCCGGTATAAGTCGTTTTTAACAATTTTTCCTAATAGACGCAAAATATAGAAGTAAGATTAGTTGCGATCAAAAACGCTTATTTTTCACCCCTTTCATTTCTCGTGAACACTCCCTTTAACTAAACTTTCCTCGCTTTCGTCGATATTGGAAATATCAAAAATTTAATTGTAAACGTACAGAAAACGGGTTGAGGATATGCAGAATTCAAAATATTACAAAAATCAACGTATTAACTGTGTTTATATTGCACTTAATACGCACGTATTCTGGCACATTCTGAATTGCATTTAGAAAATGCAATAACGACGAGCCGAATGCATTATTGTTTTTTAACAAAACATTATTTTTACCCCTGTAAAACTCTTTAATAGAAATTTTATTCAAGGAATTATTAGATTTGAGAAGGGGGGAACTAATGTAAATTGCGCACATTAGATTGAAATCTTATATGTTTTCAATCAAACCTTCTCTTTTCATAGAGCTATTGAGAAGAAAAATATGTTTTGAATTTCCAATCTGTAACAGGGTTGTACCAATAATATCATGTTTTGAATTTCTAATCTGGAACAGGGTTGTACCAATAATATCATGTTTTAAATTTCTAATCTGTAACAGGGTTGTACCAATATTATCATGTTTTGAATTTCTAATCTGTAACAGGGTTGTACCAATAATATCATGTTTTGAATTTCTAATCGGTAACAGGGTTGTACCAATAATATCATACTTTGAATTTCTAACCTGTAACAGGGTTGTACTAATAATAGCATGTTTTGAATTTCTAATCTGTAACAGGGTTGTACCAAATACCAATACCAATAATATCATGTTTTGAATTTCTAATCTGTAACAGGGTCCGGTTGTACCAATAATATCATGTTTTGCATTTCTAATCTATAACAGGGTTGTACTAATAATATCATGTTTTGAATTTCTAATCTGTAACAGGGTTGTACCAAATACCAATAATACCATGTTTTGAATTTCTAATCTGTAACAGGGTTGTACCAATAATATCATGTTTTGAATTTCTAATCTGTAACAGGGTTGTACCAATAATTTATCATGTTTTGAATTTCTAATCTGTAACAGGGTTGTACCAACATCACGTAAATTTTACCTACTCTCTCTGTACAGTTCAGTGTGTATAATGTATATTCTGTTTTGTCACATGAGCAATGTGCATTGTACACAGTGTAATTATTGTGAATAAATCTTATCGTAAAATTTGTAATGACTTAATCTTTATCAGATCTTCTTTACACTTAATCTTCTCCTTTTTCCTGGTTTTCGTTAGTCCAGTATTAGTTCATAATATCATAGAGTTTTGTTAAATTTGAGTCCTGTTTTCTTATCCTGTCTTGTTTTATTTCTTATCCTTTCCTACTTTAGTTCTTATCCTGTCCTATTTTAGTTCTTATCCTGTTCTATTTTGGTTCTTATCATGTCCTATTTTAATTCTTATCCTGTCCTATTTCAGTTATTATCCTATCCTGTTTTATTTCTTATCCTGTCCTATTTTAGTTCTTATCCTGTTCTCTTTTAGTTCTTATCCTGTCCTATTTTAGTTCTTATCCTTCCTATTTTAGTTCTTATGCTGTCCTGTTTTAGTTCTTATCCTGTCCTATTTTAGTTCTTAACCTGTCCTTCATTTCTTATCCTGTCCTATTTTAGTTCTTATCCTGTCCTGTTTTAGCTCTTATCCTCTCCTATTTTAGTTCTTATCCTGTCCTATTTCAGTTATTATCCTGTCCTGTTTTAGTTCTTATCCTGTTCTCTTTTAGTTCTTATCCTGTCCTATTTTATTTCTTATCCGGTCCTATTTTAGTTCTTATCCTGTTCTCTTTTAGTTCTTATCCTGTTCTATTTTAGTTCTTATCCTTTCCTATTTTAGTTCTTATGCTGTCCTGTTTTAGTTCTTATCCTGTCCTATTTTAGTTCTTAACCTGTCCTTTACTTCTTATCCTGTCCTATTTTAGTTCTTATCCTGTCCTGTTTTAGCTCTTATCCTCTCCTATTTTAGTTCTTATCCTGTCCTGTTTTAGCTCTTATCCTCTCGTATTTTAGTTCATATCCTATCCTATGTTATTTCTTATCCTTTTTAGTTATTAGCCCGTCCTGTTTCAGTGCTCATTATTTCCTATTTTAGTTCTCATCCCGTCCTGCGTTTTAGTTCTCATCCTGTCCTGTTTAAGTTCTCATCCGGTTCTTTTTTAATTCTCAATTCTTTAGTCCTCTTCAATCTTCTGTCATCAATATCTTCTCTGCCATCACCTTATTCAGTCTTCATACCGTCTATTTTTTATTTCAATTTTGTATTTTCAGAATCTTCATCATATCCTTTTCTCTTATGTCAGTCCCAATTCCCATACTTATTTTACTCCGTTCTTCTTTCATTCATATCTTTATGGGGTTTCTTTTATGTTTGTTTCGTTTAAAGAAGAATTGTATCTGTTTTCAAGTTTTCTTTGTCCAATATCTGATTACCTTGTAACGTTATTGTGCGTCTAGATGTTGAAATGGTTTAGATGAGATGGTCCCAAGGGATCTGTATATATACAACCATCCATTACAGCCTGGATCTTGTATAAAGGCTAGAGAATATCATCAACATCTTCATCTAGATCAACATCTACCAGTTCATATAGAGAATCAACCTGCAGGTAAATACATATTAAAGGGACCGTAGACGGATTTTCATTTGAAGAATTTCATGCAACATTCACAACGGTACCTTTTAAACCTTAGTCTGAGTATACTTGTCTTGCTATTGTAAAAATTACAGGTTTCAATGCGGTTCTTTGTAAAACAGAAACTTTGTAAAAATGACAACAGAAACAATTTGAAGGAAATCGTGTAAAATTGTTTCTGTTTAAAACGGCCAAATTTCTAAATCTTCCTCATTGTAAATACAATGAAATTCAGAAGGGTAACCTTGTGAAATCTTAGTTTTAAGTCGTGTGAAAATAATTTAATATCTCCTTTTATAAGGTTATTTATAGCAGATTGAGTCATCAAAAACTGTCATCGGCGATAAGAAGCTAGCATGCAATGATGCAATGGTCTTTCAGACTTTATTCTTGCTAAGTGTTTTATCTAAAAAATTGAATGATTAATTGTAAAAATCAATGCTTTAAACTCTTTTTAAGTGTATAACTTTGTCTTCTTAGGTTTAATAAATACTTTAATAAATAAAATAAATACGGAATGATTACAGTGATGAATAGGTGTTGTGTAAAATCTTGCATAGTCATATAAATGTACTTTGCAACTTATTATGTATCATTTAAACCATACACCATTCATACAATAATGTGTAGAAAGTATTTAATTATGAAAATTATAATTTTTTATAATTTATTTTTACCAACAGCCGAGTTTTATCTACTCTAGAGATAAATGAGTTAAAGATTATGCAGAGTTATTACAAAAGTTTATTTTATATTATTTAAATTATTCAAAACCACACCTGTTGTGTATGTATAATACACAATACCTCTGATTATATTAATAATAATTTGAATTATTTTGAATTTCTTCATATCTAAACCCTAGACAGGCTGGGGGGGGCGTTAGGCGCCCCCTGTAGTTTTTTTTTGTTCTAGAACTCTCCTTTTTGACACTATCACCGTGAAATTGGGCTATTAACATGCATTTCAACCCTATACCTATTCTCTAAGGTCTTTTTCTAGAAGGAGGGTGGGGGCGCCAAACGCCCCCCCCCCCTCCCGGCTATACATAGATTCAGACCCCCCAGCCTTTATAGGGTTAACATAATTGTGGTTAAATTTTGCGCTTTCGAGCACCCTTTTCCTAGTTTTCATTTTCGTTTTGGCTCTTTGCTTGTTTTCAGATTTTCAACTTCTTAAAAGTAAGAAAAGCCTTTAACCCAATCCAGTTGTACTGTTATCCACTCTAAACTATGCATGAACAAAAAAATGCTACATTTGTTCACAAGTTACAGTTATGAAGTTAAAAAAGTAAAGAAGTTTGAGCGCTCTAGTGTAGGTCGTTTTTAAGTTATTAAGAAAAAAAACTAGGGGGAGTGGAAAATAATCCCCCCCCCCCGCCTCCATCGCGGAAGAGTTAAATTTTCAAAAACGAGCAAAAAAATATATTCATCTCTTCCAGTAAAAATAATAAAAAAATTAAAGAAATGACTTTTATGTAAATCGCCGTTTTTTTAATTAACAATTAGAATTAAACAACTGGATTCTTTTCTGATAAGGAACTAGTATTTGTCCCCAAACTATAATTTGTTATTCGATTAGTTTAAATTTAAAATATCAAAGATTTGATAAAGTGACTAAAAAGTTCTTTAATTTTCTCAATTTTAATCGTTGACAAAATAAAATCTTTATGGTCGTTTCTAAGATTCACCCTTTAAAGGGAGAAGCTGAGCCTGAACCTTCCTAAAATATATTTCAAAAATTATTGTTTCTTTTGTTGTAAATAAAATGCACATTGCTCTGCAGTGCAATAATTGACACTGGGCTTTAAACATTTATTTAGAAACATTAAATATATAATGAAAAATAAATCTTTTTTTAAAACATTGAAACATTTAGATTTTTTAAAAGCTAAAGGAACTGATTACTTACAACTAACTCTGATTTTTCCATCTTTATATCTTTGCTATCTGATGGCGTAAACCTTTGACATTTCGATCTGAGAGATATGTTAGATAAAAAGTTAAAGTTGAAAAATGAAAGTAAGCAAGTAATTCGTTACAAAAGGATTTTTTTTGCAAAGTGATATAAGCACAAAAAATAGTTTTATTTTTCAGGATCCAATGGGTTGGATTGGACTGGAGGCGAATTGGTTAATAATGTAGAATATGCAGAAGAAAGCAGGGAAATATTAAAACATTATTAACCTTGTTACTGTTTTACAGTTACTGTTATTTTGTTTTATATCCTCATTATTCTCTGGAATACGGAGATAAAGAATATTTTTCAGGGGTTCAGGGTTTGCTAGTTTTCTCTATTCATTTTTATCAACTCTATCCATGGATAGAATCATTCTTAAAATTGTGTAAATTCATGAATGAAATCATCATGAACCTTTTTAGAACAACAACAAATTGGTTTCTCATTTGGAAAAGTCAAATACTGGGATTAGGAATATTTTACTGAGCTCAGGGTTCGCTATTTTTCACAATTGTTTTTAAGCAGACATTTTATGAAGCCATGTTTTAGTCACTATTTTTCCAAAACTGGGATCAAAGGAATTGATTCTTTACCACAAACTAAAATTTTCTAATAACTATATCTTTGCAATATGATGGTGCAAACTTTTGATATTTCAAACTTAGACTTTTTGATCTAAGAGAATTAATAGTTTGACATTTCAAATGAGTACGGCATTGAGCTGCAAAGATGTAAGGATTTAAAAATTTGTATTTCTGGCAAAAATCAATTCCTTTAAAATGACTAGACACCATTATCTTTTGCCATCTTGAAAGGATTAATTTAAAAAAACTATTTTTTTTTGTTAATTATAATGCTAATAATGTTGGTTGATAAAGGAAACCTAGCCTGGAACTCTCGACATATGCTACCAATGGACCAGGAAATCACAATACGAACTTTAAGAACTTAAAAAAAAATTTTTGAGTAATGATGCACTCAAGTTCTTTTGAATAAGTCTATTTTAGTCATTTTTTGTGTTAATATTTCATTAAGACAAAAAAAAAAACACATCAAACATCGGAATTTTATGGCTGGTCTAAGCTTAAACTTTTGACTGCATGTATTCGTTTTTATCTTGCTTGCTGATTAAATGATATCTCGGACCTTTCAGATTTGATCGAATGATAAGATTTCTGTTCGGAGAATAATTCAATTTTTTTTTTCGGCCTTTCAAAATCAAAAAATTTCTAACGTGCAGATTTAGTTTCTTTTTCGTTTGAAAAAGTAAACATTATTTTTAAATTAATTAGAATCTCAGAAAATATCTATTTCTGTAAAGATAATAATTACCTTTGGCTGAAAAAAAATGTTTGTTTTTTATTAGAAAATTCTCATTTTCATTCTGATAAATTTAATTGTTCATTGCCAACTGAAATTAAACGTTCAGAAGGACGTTCAAAAGATAAAACAAAATTCCACACATTTAGATCCCTGGTATTGAAACAGGGTTTAAAGGGACTTGTTTAGTATTTGTTCATGAACATGTTGGAATATAAAAATTCAAAATGGTACCCTCTTTAATCTTTCTAATCCCTGACATACGTGTTAGGATGATTAGCGTGAAAAAAGGGGCTAATTAGACTCAATATATTTATATGAAAAGGTTCCAAGATTACTCAGTAAACACTTGAATTGCGTTTCTATGTAAAGAGATGAAAATCTAGTTCACAACAGTATCCTTAAAGGGCCTGTAAGCGAAATTTCAAGTGAACCTTTTTGTAAAGATGGAAATGCTCGATTCACAACAATGCCATTGAAAACTTTATCTGACTAATAATAAAAAACAGGTATTTTAGTTTTTCTAGGGTTCTAATTATGATTTCCTGCAGTAGAAAATAATCAGTTTTTAAAATAATAAACATGGATATCTAATTCAACCTGATCAAACAATGCTTGAAGGGTACTGTTGCGAATGGAGCTTAGACATCCTTGTCTCGAGGGTCACTTGTAATTACGCCTGTACGTTCCTTTAAACTCATAGCCTGAGCAAAACAATGAGGAGGATAACGTTGTTTTTCTATTTTAGAATGAGACAAATTTAGTCCTTTTTAATGAATTTATGCTAACAGTCCCTTTAAGTTGAATAGCCATGCCGGAATTTATATTGAACTTAGTTAAGATTATACAAAGTTACTTAAACTATTTAATATTCTCTAATAGGTTTAATTTCCTAGTTCCATTAATAACAAACCCCTGATAAGCGCTGCAGCTACATTACAATTAATGAAGAAGAGATTTCATTTTTTTAATGATTTTTTTTTTAAATTCCTGATACAAGGCAGCAATAAAGTTTTTTTTTCAAAAGAGACCAAACAATAATGACCTCACAGGATTGAAGGGATATTTAAACTATTTCGCGCGAAACACTCATAATATCCCAATTTTTTATTTTTAATTTCCCAATCAGAAAATTTGGATTTAAGCTCATCTAGTTTTCTTGAGCCATGCAATATATGAAAAAAAGTTCTGAGATGGTAAACAACAACAAGTTTTGATACATTCAGCCCAACTTTGACTTTTAATAGAGGGTTACTTGAAATTCGCCTACAGTCCCTTTAAGTAAAAAAACTATCTGCCATGTTGCGTAAAAAAAAACTTTTCTTCAGAGACGCAGGGATTCTTCAAGTTTCAGCTCTCTATTCTTGCAGGCCCCTATTCTTCCAAATGCTCATTATTCCAGATCCTTATTCTTCAAGATCTCTATTCGTCCAGACCCCGTTTTCCCCGATCCTATTCTTCTAGATCCTTGTTTTCCAGATCCAAAGTCTTATATATTCTTATAATTCTTCTAGATTCCTTTTCTTTTAGATTACTTTTCTTCTAGATTCCTTTTCTTCTAGATTCCTTTACTTCTAGATTCCTTTGCTTCCAGACCCTTTTCCTCCAGATCCCTTTTCCTCCAGCCCCCTTTTTCTTCAAACCCCTTTTTCTCCAGACCCCTTTTTCTCCAGACCCCTTTTTCCAGACCCCTATTCTTTCGACCCCTTTAAAGTCTATCCTGTTATAAATGACTTAAAGGATATTTATCCAAGTTCTTTAGAAAATCTGAAATCCATTAGCTAGACCTCCCAATCGATAGTAAATTTAAACAAGTAGGATTTTGTTAAAACATTTTTATTTTTCTGAAAATCGACAACTTTCAAGAGGAAATTAGGTGCTTGACGTACAGATCGTAACTGTTTTCAGAAAAAGGCTTAAGGTCAATAACTCTTCATGGTAGGCCACTTAAATTAGCGTCGACATTCCCTTTAATTTTATTGTTTTACGTCTTATTGTTGTGGTTGTTAGCAGTGGGATTTACTAAATGAAGGACGTGCTGAGGAACCTGGATACAACCCTGATAATACTCTTACCAGGTGCCAGATAAATCCCCGTTACTAGTATCCATGTTAGAGTTTAAGTGTTGCTTTTTAAGCCGCCATTTTTTCTGCGTAATTGTGAAACTCAAATTTCGCGGATTTTTCGATTAACATTGGTGGATTTATTTATTTCAAAAATCTACATTTTTTAGGCACAATCTTTAAATTTAGACCACCCAGCCATGAACAATTCTTTGGGTTATGTTTGGTGTTACACAAAACTTGTGCCAGATCCCAGCCATGAACAATTCCTTGGGTTATGTTTGGTGTCACACAAAACTTGTGCCTGATATGTTTAGCCATTTTATTGTTTATATTCCGGATATAAGATATATATCTATACATATATTGCTTTTAATTTTTACCTTTGCAATAGTTAACAAATGAAATTAAAATTAAAAAGTGGCAGTTTTGGGCATTCTGTTTGATCCGTTTTTCGCATTCAGGGGCGTTTTTTTGTAAAAGCAACTGAGTCTTTGCCACACCTTTTTTTAATTCCTATATGATTGCAAGTCAACCATATGTCAGGGACCTTAGATATTTCAAACTATGAATTCTGGTAGATTAACTAATTTAGTATGAAATATCAAAGGTTTGCACCATTAGGTTGCAAAGAAATAGTAATTAGAAAACACCTTAACATTGTATTTTCTTGAAATAAGCATATATGAAATTATGCAAAATTTTGGCTCTCACAGAAGATATAAACCTAAACGAAACAAAAAATCTTTTGCTAAAGTCAACATTTTGCACAGTATAATGAAATCAAACTTTTTGAAATATAATTTAAAAACGAAAAGCGACGGTTAAAACTCGGTGACTCTGTTTAATTTAAACAACAATTTTTTCAGGCGACAGAGAAAATTTGCAGATGGAGGCCATATCTCCGGGTTCCGGTTTCACGATAACCTTAACCGTCCTCCGAACCAAGGTCTGCCTCCGGACCCTCTGATGCATGACAGGGACGGCATGCTGGTCGGAGGCAGGGAGAGCATGCTAGTTGGAGGAAGAGAAACCATGTTGCTAAGAGGGATGGGATCTTCGTTAGATGGAGATGTGCGGATGTATGACTCCGGTAGACTGCATAGGAGAAGTTCAAGGCAAAGTCAGGACCTATACTCTCTACATAGGGTATGTAATATGTATGAAAAAAGTGCTACATAAGAAAGTTTTGCTTATTCTGTTTTTTAAAAAAAGATCCTGAAATATCAGAAATGCTTTAAGAAATTGGGAGGCAATCTGCTCCGTTTTATAATTACGATTCGGTTTTAAAATCTGTGGAATTAGTGTTTCTTTCTTGGGACTATAAAATACTGGGCCTCAAATATTTAAAAATTGTGAACAATTATCTTTTAATTTTTTTTATGTTCAATTAAATTCAAGGAATTGTTTTAATATGACAAAAACATTACAAATTATAAGAAAGAGTTGATTAAACTATAATATTTATTATATGCCTTTATGGAGTATTTTCACATTTTAAAACTTGAAACAGTTAGAATTAATAAACAAGAAATTTAAATTTGAAAGTAAGGATCGAAGGCAAAACTCAGAAATTTAAGAAGTTTTAATTTCATTCCAAGACAATCATAGAGCTATTTTTAACCTAAGAAAAATCTGTTAGAATGTTTATTATACTGACTCTAATATTCACAACAAAAGAAATGTTTCCATGTGGAATTTACAATATCGAGAAATCCAGTTAGAGTGCTTAGATATTTAAAAAGGGACTGTAAGCATAATTTTAAGCGACCTTTAATTTAAAGAGAGCAATGCCCGATTGACAATGGGACCCTTTAAACGTTTGACTGAGCATAGAGGACACAGAACAGTGTCTCTTCAATACTGTATAATGATCCCGTAAAATTAAAATGTACGCTCACATATTATGTGAACTCAACGCGGATGACCTAAACATTATTCCTAGAGATTCTGGAATATTGTATGTCCATTGTCCAACATGGTTTTTAAAAATTCAAAGTGAATATTCTTATTCTTCCACTCCTACATAGAAAATAAATATTAATATTCCTTAAATATAAGACATCTTGAAAACAAAGATTTCATCATTTACTAGCGTTTCAATAGATAACTAAGTTTAACTCTGTCATCCTTGTTAAGTCCCATGGGTGGGGTACCGTTGTGAATCGGGGTTTCCCATCTTGAAATTAACCTGTAGTCCCTTACCATTTATCTTATCATTTATAAGAAGGTTAAATATATTATTTTGATATTTTCTAAATATTTTCTGTCCTTACTTTTCTTCTGAATTCTTTTGTGAGTTTATTGTAAAACATAAAAGGTTTATCTTCATTGTATTTTAAGATCAACATCATACAGTTTCTTTGACAAGAAAATAAAAAAGGGAAAAAAATGATAAAAATAATTTCAAGATCAACTTTCCAGGTTTTATCGAAATCTAGTACTTGGTTACCTACTAAAAAAAGGGCCCAAACCAAATTAATTCTTTGGCCTTTTATCCAAACCAAAGTTAGCATAAGCATATTGGTTTGCTTTTGTGCAAATTGCATGAAAAACAAACTAAAACCTAATCAAAATCTAAACCAAACCAAATCTATGTTTTTATCAAAACCAAACCAAAATTATGCTTTTATCCAAACGAAACCAAATACATAATAATATACAAACAAACCCAGATCTATTTTTATGTCCAAATCAATGTTTATCCAATCCATCCCAAATCCCCGAATTTATCCAAACCAAACTTTATCATGCTTTCAAGAAACCAAACCAAACAAATAAATAATCTTTTAAAACTTTTTCAGGATGAGTGTGACGGTTCTGAATATCTAGAAAGTACAAGGAAAGTACAGAACTCAATACGTACATATTTTGAAAATTTTGAATATTTCAAATATTAGGCAGAATTGCCAACTTTTGAACTACATGGTGAACAACAACAAAAACGAAAACATAGAAACAAAAAAAGTTTTTTTCATAAATACGGTTCTACATTTTATCAAATATATTAAGAATTGGCTTATTCATGTGGCATTTAATTATAAAACCAAGCTAACCTCTGGAGTTAACAAATATTTGCTTGAAATCAAATAATGGGCTTGGGAGTGGGGCCGGAATGGAAAATACTTCATATTACATATTAAAATTTACAAATAACATGAAATTTGCATAGGGAGGCAGGCACTTTCCTAGAGAAAAAAGAGAACTCTTAGAAGAATGTTATGAAATGGCTTATTTAAAAAATGTCACAGCATACATGTTAATGTAAATTCCTGTTCATGTATAAATGTCTTATTTATAAATGTCTAATTTTAAAAAAGATTTCTACGAAACTCTATGAAATTTCCCGAATGATTGATTCGCTAAAGCTCGGTTAAATGGTCTTGGTTTAAGTCCAATAATGAATGATTAATGAAATTTTAATCAATATTTTTAAAACATTGTCTTAAACTCGTACTTTTAGATTTAGCAGTTTACAACGTCCAACTAGACGACATAGAAAACCTCGAGAGAGTATTCTTAAGAATGGAGGGGGAGGAGGAGGAGGAGGGGGAGGAGGTTCTTTTTCTTCGCTTCCGAGAGGATATTCACTCAGGAACTAACCTAACCTAATGATAAGACACAAATAAATGGATTGAAAAAAGTATTTGAATAAACTAAACACATGCCTCAAACTCTAATTTCGAATCCTGATGTCTTTGCAACCTGTTGTCTTAGACCTTTAATATTTTAAGCTATGAATTCTGTTGGATCAAGAAGGGTCATCATATATTTAGATATCTAAGGTTTAAATTATCAGGATGCAAAGATATATGCAATAAAAAAACTTTGTGTTAACATTTTAAAATGTGTTTTATTTTTAAAATTGGTATATTTTGCGTCATATATTTCGGTAAATAATTATAGAATATTTATTAATTTTTAGAGGTTTCTTTATTATTTATATTATGCATTAACTACTTATAGAAAGTGCAGAGCAGAATATTTATCGCATATGTGCAAATAGAAAGTAGAGGGTTTGGACATTCACAAATAACATATGAAAATTAACCAACGTAAGTTATAGATTTAATTTCATTTAATTATTGAAACGGAAATTTTGTTTTTGTGAAGGAAGTTTTCTAAAGAATTCTCGACTAGAAAGAAAAGAATATATTTTTCTAATCATTATCTTAATAAACTTTTAATGCATTACTGGTAAACGATCTAGAATTGAAAAATATATCAAAATTGCAAAATGATAAAAAATTTGCGAACAATGATTATACCTAACATTATTGAACATTAACGAACAGTTACACACGGTAACGAACAATAACGAACAATAACACCAATAATAAACAATAATGAACAATAAAGAACGGTAACGAACACAAACAAAAAGTAACAAATAGCTGAACGAAAAATAACAAACAATAACGGACATTAACTGTTCCCAGACCTAAGTAATACTAGAGTAGTAGTACACATATTTTTATGTAAGCATGACATGTTATTTATAGAAATAATTAATCACCTTCCATGGACATTTTCTTTTCAATAAAAACACTTTCATGCTGGGTACATAAATTATTCGCCAGGTAATACTTGCCATTATTACACAGATTTTGCAATATTACACAGATTTTGCAATATTTTTCCAAATATTTAAACTATACAGACCTCTTTAAGAGAGATAATAAAAACAAAAAATCGCAGCAATGCAGTTCAAAACTAAGTCAGAAACAACAACAAAAAAATTTAAATAAATTAAAAATTTTTTGAATTGCAAACGTACTTGAGGTTGTGGAGGATTGAACATATGACAAATGTGAAATTTCCAATATTTTAGATTGTAATATTATAAAAAAAAACATTTTTTGACTTCAGTAAAATAATGTTTTTCGCATTTTTTAGATTTCCAGCAAAGTGGCTGCTCGCGATTTTCGTAATTTTTTTCTCGCGTTTTTTATATTATATTTGCGTAGAATTTCACACAAAATTAACAATTTGGGTAAACAATTTTTTACACAAGGAAGAGAAAATATATAAAAAATTTTGCCTGCAATAGTCATAAGATGTTGTTTTCGCCAGAAATCCGACCCACCTGATTAGGATATTCAATCTATTTATGGAATGTGCATTATCCCGATTATTATTTGGCTAAACTATACAATTTACATAATATATAGAATTTACATTATCCCGATTATTATTCGGCTAAACTGAACAATTTACATAATATATGGAATGTACATTCTCCCGATTATTATTCGGCTAAACTGAACAATTTACATAATATATGGAATGTACATTATCCCGATTATTATTCGGCTAAACTATACAATTCACATAATATATAGAATTTACATTATCCCGATTATTATTCGGCTAAACTACACAATTTACATAATATATGGAATGTGCATTATCCGGATTATTATCCGGCTAAACTAAACAATTTACATAATATATGGAATGTACATTATCCAAATTATTATTCGGCTAAACTCCACAATTTACATAATATATGGAATGTGCATTTTCCCGATTATTATTCGGCTAAACTGAACAATTTACATAATATATGGAATGTACATTATCCCGATTATTATTCGGCTAAACTACACAATTTACATAATATATGGAATGTACATTATCCCGATTATTATTCGGCTAAACTACACAATTTACATAATATATGGAATGTACATTATCCAAATTATTCAATCATTCCTGAGATTTTGAATATTATAATGATATTTTGGTTGGTTTAGAAACAGTGTAAAATTTGCGTCCCCAGTTGACAGTGAACCTAAGTCTATGGACAGTGATCAGCTCGATTTTCTTGCTTTAAACAAGGAATATTCTTTAATAAAAGATATAGCCGGTCATGCTCTTGGTTAAAGGGAACCAACTCAATGAGTTATTAAAATTTAGAGAAAATATGGAAGAAAGGAAGAATGGAAATAAAAAAAATTGAAAAAAAACAGAAGGAAAGAGGAAAATATTAGACGATTAAAAAATAATAAGGGAATAAGGTCGGAACATAATTGGGAAAATATAGAAGAATGGAAAAGTAGGATAAAGTAGGAGGAAGGGCAAATTAGGAGAAACTTTAAGGAGGAGAAAAATTAGGAAAAAATAGGGAAAATAAGAGAATATATCAGGAAGCAGGAAAAGTAAGAGAAGGTAAGTGGAAGGGGAAACAGTGGAGAAGGTACGGACAATTAATATGAGAATGGAGGAATGAAAGAAAAGAAGGGGAAGGTTGCTGGAAAACGGAATTATTTTAAAAAGCAAAAAAAGATAAAAGAAAAATTGCTCCTCTTTCTCTTGGATAAGTGTTATCGACACTAAGTAAGCAAGGTAGGCTTGAAGAAGATATGTTCAGTAATTAAGGATTATAGGATTATAGAGTAAAGGAGTAAATAAGTAGTTTTTAGTCGGGGGGGACCTCTACCCTACTCATCTTCATTCGTCTCTCTTACCCCTAAGCTTAACCCTAATTACCCCCCTCCCTCCCTCCATTCCCCGTCTTTTCTTTTTTAAAGAATATCTATGATCAGAACGTTTATGAAAATCATCTGCAAGAGAGAGAAACCGTTCTAAGGTAGGAAAAAAATATATTTTGCATTGTTAATCTTTAAAATGACATGAAGAAATAATTGTGATCTATATTTATTAAAGTGCTTGCACAATTCACAATAATCAAGATGGAAAATATGGATAGGGTTAAAGGGTTTCACTGTGAATCCGACATGCCCCACTTTCATTTGAGGATCACTGGAAATAAGATTATCATATATCAACATCTACACTAAAACTTCTAAACCTCTCCTCCATATGATGAACAACTTGACAGGCCTATAAACAGGTTCCCATAGAAAAAGGTTGGGATGAACCTCGTCAAGTTTACCAGAATATCCCCAAGATGGTGTGCCTGCAGAATGTTTCAAAGGAAAAATATTGTGACAAGCCTAGACAAGAATGGGCCAAGAGAAGAGTGGCCTGAGGTTCTCAGAGGGTATATTGAATATATCTCTGTAAAAGAATGCAACTCTGGCAATGTTCCTGTATGCAGCCCTGTACCTCGTGAACACTGTCGTGATGTTCCAGGACAGATTTCTAAATAGGTTCCTAGACACAAATGCTACAGTAAATCAAGAGAGGTCTGTTATCAGGTGTACCCAGGAAGTAATGTATTCAAGTTACAACAGAAACCAAGAATGGAATATATGAAGATGTGGAGTTGCTGGAAATAAAGAAGTATGTAGAAAATAAGGGATAAATAGCCCTAATTTTCAACACTCAAGACCCCCCCCCCCCCCAAATTTTGCAGCAAATATCGTAGCAATCCATATTTGTTAACCTGAACATACATAGATATATTACGTTTTACAAGTAAGGCATTTACTACATACCATGTTCAATAAAGTATCTCTACCATGCTCCATAAAGTGTTAATACCATGCTCCATACCATGCTCCATAAAGCAACTATATCATGCTCCATAAAGCATCTATACCATGCTCCATAAAGCAACTATACCATGCTCCATAAAGCAACTATACCATGCTCCATAACGTATCTATACCATGCTCCATAAAGTATCAATACCATGCTGCATACCATGCTCCATCAAGCAACTATACCATGATCCATAAAGCATCTATACCATGCTCCATAAAGCAACTATACCATGCTCCATAAAGCAACTATACCATGCTCCATAAAGCATCTATACCATGCTCAATGAAGCAACTATACCATGCTCAATAAAGCATTTACACCATGCTCCATGTTTAGAGGCTCTCTGCAGATGACTGGTGTCCGAGGGAGTGCTAATCAACTGATGCTAGAGAATAGAGCTCCTAAAGGAATTTTACATTTAACAATTTATTTAGTTTGAGTTTGAGTAAATTGGAGATCAAACAAATTTTGTTCGAACATTCCTTGGATTAGCTATGGTTTCTGTTTGCAGGCAA